TTAAAATCTAAGTTCCTTATAAACGTTCATTAAAATATCATTTAAAAAATAGAAGGTCAAAAGGTTTTATAAAATTGATTATGGGTTTCCTGAGGCCTGGCTATGTGGTAGCCAAAGCTGTGATTTGTGGGAATTATGAAAGACAAGTTTAGGCAAGTAATTGCTTCCCTGTAAGTTCATCTGGAAGCCATGATATGATTTAAAAATGAAATTTGCCTGAGAACAAAGCCACATGACAGTTACCAATGGTCAGAAAGAAATGATCATGCCATTTGAGCCTATGTCATACACTGGAATGGAGTTAGGGCTCTGCTACAGCATTTAGGCTTCTACAAGGCAAGAAAGGAGTTCTGGTGGCTTAGTGATAAGAAATTGCACTTACAACCCAAAGCTGGTTGAAATCTACCAGCTGCTTGGTGGGAGATAGATGGGCAATCTCCTCCCCTGTGCTTTACTGCCTCTGAAAATCCACTGAAGGGTCAGGGGCCTGTTCTGAGTCAATGACTCAACAGCAACAAGGCAAGCAGGGAACTTGGGTGGCTTAGTGGTAAGGAGTTGTACTGTCAGTCTACTGGCATATGGTTTGAATCCACCATCTGCTCTGCAAGAGAAAGATAGGCAATCACCTCCTATGCAATTTACTGCATCTGAAAACCCTCCAGAGGGTCAGCTATGAGTCGGTTCCAACTGATGATATATAACAACAATATAACAAGACAAGTACTTCAGATCATGGATGTGTGTGTGTGATTTGAGTGACAGTTTACAAAGACATTTTGTTTTCCATTCAATCAAATACACTTTGTGAAATTAATCAAAATACATACAATGTACTCACATTCTTCTCATTTCCCTCCTGCTATTTTCATTTCCTTTCCTTAATCATTCTATCCCACCCCTTTCTGCCTTCTGAGCTTTATCCCTGGACAAATAGTGCCCTTTTGATCTGATGTGGTTGATGATTCAAAGGAGCAAGTGCCTCCCTGGTGTAAATGCTCATGTTACAGTCTATTATTTGACTGCATGTTGAGTCACAGGGGTGAGTTCAAGGCAAGATTCAGAGGGTAACCAAGGACTACGAGCTAGAAGATTCTATCAGCCTCTGTTTGGTAAGACTGGCCATAATTCTGTTTTTGAGTCTTGTTCCGATTTCCCCTCACTCTACCCAGGATGTCTACATGATCCTGTTTAGAGTGGTGATCAGTGGTAGCCAGGCACCACTTAGCTCTGGGTCAGGGTCATGGAGGTTGAGGTTCATATAGGCCATTAGTCATTTAGAATTATTGTGTGCGAGGCTTTTTGTGTTATTCTCTTTTCTTTTCTTTATTGGATGGCTGCTGGCAAGCTCTTAAGATCCCAGATGCTACACAGAAAAGAAGCATGCACTTCACCAAAGAAGACATTCAGATGGCCAACAAGCACATGAAGAAATGTTAAAAATCCCTAGCTCTAAGAGAGATGCAAATTAAAACAACTATGAGATATCATCTCACCCCAGTCAGAATAGCACAATTTAACAGAACAGCAAGAAACAAATGCTGGCCAGGTTGTGGAGAAACTGGAACCCTGATTCACTGTTGGTGGGAGTCTAAAATGGTGCAACCACTGTGGAAGGCAGTATGGTGCTTTCTCAAAAAGTTGCAAATAGAGATACCATTTGACCCAGCAATTCCATTACTGGGAATATACCCCAAAGAGACCATAACTGACATCCAAGCAGATATGTGCACACCCATGTTTATCACAGCTTTGTTCACAATAGCAAGGAGTTGGAAACAACCTAAGTGCCCATTAACAAATGAATGGATAGAGATGCTGTGGTATATTCACACAATGGAATACTACACTGCAATGAAAAACGAGGAACTCAGGTAATACTATTCAAAATGGGTGACCCTGTAGGACATTATGCTGAGTGAAGTATCTCAGTCACAAAAGGACAAATACTGCATGGTGCCACTGTTGTAAAACAGGACTGACCTTGGGGTTGGGGGGACACTGAGAAAGATGGGTTTCAATAATGTATACTGCATTGAAACAGATGAGGGAGAGAACTGTTTAAAAGGGATATATGATTAGGTATTTTTGTTGTGATAGGAGTCTAGAGCAAAGGCTGCATAGTGGAGTGGACCTGGGAGAGGGTTTGTAAAACAATGAAAGAATTTTTCTTTCACTTTTACAAGAGGGTAGCATACTAGCGGGGGAGGGTTCAGAGGGGAGAAAAGTGCAACAATGAATGAATGGAAACCCAAAGTTTCTGTAAATTTTCATTGAAATTAATAATAAATTTTAAAAAATTAACAAAAGAAGCATGTAGAGTTGTATTTGTGGATTGAGCCATGTCAATTAATCTTGATGTGCTCCAGAACTATGGCCCCAAGAACCTAAGATCAAAGATTTTAAATTTGAATGCAAGTCGAAGTTCTGTAAGAATCATTTTTTCAATGCTTACTACCAATCCCGTCTAGTATTTTATTATTTTGTTGTCTGGAGTTTATTCTCCAGGAGATTCCTTAGACAGAGCTCTGGGGAGCAACAATTTCTGACTTGTTGTAAATTGGTGATAGTTTCCCTGGGCTTGAAACTACTTAAGATCAATTTTCTAAATGCAAGATTCTTGGATCACATTTTTTTTTTCTTTCCATGAGCATCTTAGATGTGTGTGCAATTTTTTTCTTCTTTTTTCATTAAAGCATGACTCTGTATAGCTAGGATTCAGGCAGAGAAAGGAGTTCTGCGGATGACACAGAATGCAGAGATTAAGCCGCGCTCAGTTGTAGGAGTGGTGGTGAAGTCTGTGCATGCTTGTTGATTCTATGACTAGGGTTGGGCCTTAAGTCTCTAAAGGTCAGCCAGGCTAACAGTTGGGGAGAAAATGTAGGTGTGAGTGAAAGACAGAAAGACTTCAGTGAGATGGACTGACACTCTGACTTCAACAATAGACTTGAGCAAGGTTGAGATTGTGAGAATGGGGCAGGCTAGGGAGGGATTTGATCTGACGTTTGTAGGGTTGCCGTGAATCCTAGCTGACTCACTGGCTCCTAAAAACAGCAAGCAAGATTTGGAGATTTCAGCTGGTGCAAATGGCTTTGCTGGATCACTAATCTGAAGGTTGGTGTTTGGAACTGACCCAGCAGCACTGCAGAAGAAAGAAAGGCTTGGCTGTGTGTAGATCTCAAGTAAGAAAATCCCAGAGAGCAACTCTACACTGCAGCACATGGGTTTGCCATGAGAATGAATTCACATTCGTTTGTTTATGTGGTAAGGGTGTCTGGAGTCCTGAGTGGTGCCCACAATTACCATGTTCACCGCTAAGGGAAACATTGACATCCAAAGTCCATTCAGAGGCACCCTGGAAAAAAAGTCTGTGAATCTACCTAAAAACAACCAACCATTGAAAATTACGTGGAAAAGGAAAACACAAAAACAGCTCTAGGATTATAGCCTGCGTTGACATACCTAAAGTCACATGAGTTGGAATGGACTCCAGAGTAACTGAAGGCCAGAGCTTATAAGGGAGACTAACATTTCCTGGGGACCTGGCCTGCAGAAGGCCTGGGAAAGGGGTAAAATGAAGGGGAGTGAGGGGAGGGGAGGGGAGGAGAAAGGAGGGCAGAACAACAAGAAGGGCCTTGAGAGACACTGGCTGAGTTCAAAGAGGAGGGATGAGAGGGGAGTGGAGTATGGAATGAACTGGAGGAGGGCAGGTCAGGCTGACAATGACTTGGAATGTCTCATGGTGGTTGTTGTTGTTGTTGTTGTTGTTAGATATCATGGAGTGTAACTCATAGCCAGCCTATGAACAACATATCTAAGCCTTCTCTGTCTTCATCTATTGCTTGCAATCACTGTTAATCCATATCTTTAGGGATCTTCCTCTCTTTTGCTGACCCTCCACATTTCCAAGCCTGATGTCCCTTTCCAAGGAGCAACCTTTCCTAGCAAGTATGTGAGACAAAGCTGTGCCAGCATTCCTTCCAAGAAGCATTCTGTCTCAAGGAGTTTGGCTTTTTATCCTGCAACAATGGGGCTTTTGAGCTAGCTTTTAGAGCCTGGCACAACAGATGCAAATTTTCAAAGCATAAAATAAATTTTATGGCCCTAACAAGCTTTGGGGGCCTATTATTAAGAAATTGTGCTGCAATTCCAAAGGCAATGCAGTTCGAATTCACCAGCAGCTCGGTGAGAGAAATATGGACATTCTCCTCCTGTGTGATTAAACTGCTTCTGACAACCCACTGGAGGGTCAGCTATGGGTCAGTTCTGACTCAATGACACACAATAACAACAACAAATGTACCTTCCTGTGTGTGCTGCAATCTCAAAGGCACCTGGTTTGAATCCACCAGCTGCCTTGTGGGACAAGGAGAGGCAATCTCCTCTGTACAATTTACTGCCTCTGAACATCAGCTAGAGGGTCAGCTATGGAATGGTTCCAAATCGAGGGCACACAACAACAACAACAACAATACAATGCATCTTCTGCAAGTGCTGCCCTAGACCCGGCCTCTGTCATCTCCCCTCCAGCATTAACTTGAGGTGGCCGGGGAACTAGCCAGGAGGGTGGTGTGCGTTACCAGCACAGGGCACACACACATCTCTCCCTTTCAGCCCTGGCTTTGAATTCTTCCTCCTAGCTATTTTCTGTCCAAATCCTCATCTGCTTCTCCCCTTATCTCGTCCTTCTCCCACCCAGATAAGTGCTGCACCCTTTCTGCCCCGCGCCTGCCTGGGTCCCCTACATCTCAGGGCTTTGTCACAGCTTTGTCTCACATGCTATGGGCAGAGACCCAGATTCCCTGAGGGAGTTGAAGACACTGACCTGAGGTCCCAATGAGCTAGCTGGAGGCTTATCACTACACCATCTAGGGTTCCAAGGGGCGGAGTTTCGAGTTCATTTATTTACAGTCTCAACTGAGAGAGAAAGAGAGAGCGAGCGAGAGAAGGGGAGAGAGAGAGGAGAGAGAGAGAGAGAGAGAGAGAGAGAGAGAGAGAGAGAGATGGGTGTGTACCGCATCCGCGTGTCCACCGGGTCCTCGCTTCACGCAGGCTCCCTTAACGAGGTGAAGCTGTGGCTGGTGGGCGAGCATGGGGAGGCAGCTGTCAAGACACGTCTGAGACCGGCAATTCCAGGCAAGGTGAGAAGACGCCAGGTGTGGTGAGCTGTGCCCTAGCCCCGAGTCCATCAAAAACAAGGAGGGACGCATTTTCTGGTGCCCACCAGCTCTGTGCCCATCAGAGCATGCTTGGATGCTCTGGAAAAGCGTTTGAGGGACGAAGGTGGCTGGCGGCACGCAAAGCGTTTGAGGGACGAAGGTGGCGGCACGCAGTTGGCTGGCAATAAATGTACCCCTGAACTCCTCTCAAGCCACAGAGGCCGTCTATCCTTTTTTTTTTTTTTTTTTTTTTTTAATAATCCTAAAAGCTAATACTCAAATTTTCTCTGCAGCCTTGGATCTCTGGCCCCTTTGACTTCTGTCACTATATCTACCTGACATCCATACAGCTCCTGTTATTTCCCCCCTTGCCTCATTCCCTAATTCCTGTGTCCACCTTCTCTTCCACACCTCTAGATCTGATGTCAAAGATACAGAGTTAAAGGAGGACTCTCACCTTGGGGGCTCTCTTCGTCTCAGGCCAGAACCCAGTGCCAGCGTGCTGTCTAACCCTGAGTGGAGCGCTGACAGTTATTCACCCCGTCCGGGACCACTGGACCTTCACATTCTTAATTGACCTAATCACTTGCAACCAAAGAGATTTCTGCCAAATACACTTCCACCCTGGTCAGCTCTCTACTTAAAGCTTCAGAGTGGCTCTTTCCTGTCATTGGAACCAAACCCCACGTCCGGGGCTAGTTAGTCCTCGGAGACTTTTCACCACGTGGCCGGCCATCCCGGCACACCAGCGCTCTGCCTCCAATACCACGCGCCTGCATCTCCGCCAGGCCCCTTCCCCTCTCAGACACCTTTGGCTAAACCTCTACCTGCAGGTTTCATACTGGATGGAATCTCCTCCGGGAAAACTGTCCGTGTCCAGTAGGGGCGTCGGTTTGCCGGAGGGGAGGAGTGGGCGGCAGGGGACTTTTCACAGCTTTCAGCACCGATTTAAGCAGGTCTTCTCTGGGTTTAACTCTGCGCTTCTGGGTGCGCTGGATCCGCTGTCAGCACAGTACTGGGCACAGTGGCGGCAGGGGGTGGGGGTGAGGTGTAGACTGGAGAAAGGAAGCACATCTCCCCACTCTCCCTCCCCCGATTGATTTGTTGGGAGGGATGGTCTTGGGGCTACCTGGTGGAAATGCGCCCTCTCTGGATCCCTCTACTCTAGCTCCGATGGGGTGGGGTGGGGGTGGTTGTGTTCTGGGGGACCGGGGCGCCCTCAGCTCGGGCACTCAGACCTCTTCTGACTTTGGGGCTCTTCTGACCCCTTCAGGAAGACGAAATCAAGGCGGACGTGGCGGAGTACTTGGGAACACTGCTGTTTGTGAGACTACACAAAAGTCGCCTCTTTAAGGATGACGCCTGGTTTTGCAACTGGATCTCAGTGCAGGGCCCAGGGAACAGTGGGGCTGAGTTGAAGTTCCCTTGTTACCGCTAGGTGCAGGGAGAAGGCATCCTGTTGGTGCCCGAGGGCACCAGTGGGGGTGGGAGAGGGAGTGGTAGGGTGATGAGATTTTTGAGATAAGCAGGAAGGTGGAGAAGGCAGGAGGATGGCCCAGGGAGGCGTGGAGACAGAGGGTGATTCCCGTAGGAACCAGCCAGAGGGTTAGCCAGGGTGCAGCAAAGATGCTGGATGCCCTAAAGGGAAGCCTCACTGTCAGTATTCTCCTTCGTGTGTCCTGGAGAAAGTGCAGCCAGACTGCTCCTTGGAGACAAGGATGGTGAAGCTTTTTCTCACATACTTTTGGTATGTTGTTAGGAGGGGTTATTCCTCAGAAAGGGGCATCTTGCTTGGAAAGGTTGAGGGCCAGCGAAACAAAGGAAGACCCGCAGCGAAGTTGACAGAGTGACTGGTGCAATGGGCTCAAGTGTGTTGGGGATGATAATGATGGCTCAGGATAGGACAGAGTTCAGGTCTGTTTATAAGGTTGTGAAGAGTCTTAAGATGACTCCATAACACTTAACAACAACAACAACTTCTAGGCCGCACTGTAGCTGATGATCCTCAAGGTCTGTACAATAAATACAGGGAGGAAGAGCTGGAAGAGAGACGGAAACTGTACAGGTTAGCCTACGCCCCCCAGGCCCCAGCTTTCCAGACCCCTAAATCCTTGCTGACACTTTCCAAGCTCCAAGGCCTGAAAGTGTTCTCTTCCCCACACCTCCATGACGCGGGCTGCTCCAGTCAGGAGGGACTTGTAAGCCTGAGGTCTAGGGTCTCGAAGAGGGAACACGAAGGTGGGTAGAAGTTTGGCAAAGGGACGATGAAAGAACACAAGACAAACAGTCAAGTGATCTTGATGATTTTTAATTCTAAGTTATTTTAATTTTCCTTCTTTTTTCTTCCTTGCTTATTGCATTTAGCATGATACATTTATATCCCATTTTTACAATTAGGGGCTTAATCAACAGCCAGAAAAACAACAAAAGTAAGACTAAAGTTTACATTATTTTTTTGCACACAGCTATTTTTTATGGTCATGGTTCCTTGGTAATTGGAGAGCATGGACAGCTATTCTTTATGGTCATGGTTCCTTGGTAATTGGAGAGCTTGGTAGACAATGGCTTTTTCCTTAAATATTTTCTTTTTAAACCTGTTTTCCAACTTGTTTGGGTTACAAAGTTACAAAGTAAAAAAGTTACATTTTAAATTTAAGCTGATACATTTTACATTTTTAGCTGAATTTACAATATTATTTATTTCCATTCAATTTTTACCCCTTCCATTATTTCAGGGGTGATTACTCTCTCAATAAGGGGGTTTAGGTTCATACAAAGGATGTTTT